CCTTCAGCCTCCTCAGCATCCTCAGGCCCACTGCACATGCTCTGGAAGCTCTCCCTTTGATCTGTGTCTATCTGAACACTGCTGGGTGTCTTTGGCAGCTGCCCATCCTGCTGCTGGAAGCTGCAGCACACTTGTATCCTCCCAGCTGTCTCCACAACAGCCGGGATTGCACAGACCACTCGTGCTCAGGTGAAAAGCCAATATCTATTCACGTGTTCCCAGAAACAATAACAGAAGAAATTCCACTTCCCTTGTTCTCCTAATCGCCTCCATACCAGGTTTACATCCAAAGTTTCTCAGTACAGGATTGTTTGGGACTCAGATGCACAGCCATGCTCTCCCTGCTCTTCTCCTTTCTTAGTTCTCCAACAGCACACATTTTGAAAGTACCTCTGAGCACTGAGACAATATTATTATTGACTACAGCCCAGGTCCCTCGAGGGAAATGGTCACCCTAAACACTATTAGTGTAACTGGGTAGGTCAGATGGGATTCCTTTCCCTCTTCACATTGGTTTACACCAAATTCCACCTGCCTTTTCACCTCAGAGTCATTCAGCACTACGAGGACCCTCTGCAGCAACCTGCAGGCAGCTCAGTGCTGTCCCACCCACAGCACACACCCTGCAGCCCTCCCTGCCTGGTGCTTAAAGCCGCTGCCCCACGGCTGCAGAGCGAAATGCACACTGCAGATCCACACTGCTCCTCCCAATGTCATGACATTCAACAGACCTTACATCACCACAGCTAAAATAGTTCTGTGACCTGGCAAATGCAGTGCCTTAAAATGAATGAAGTAAATGGCATAAATTTTATCCCTTACTACATTTCTTCCACCTTCAATGGTTTTACCTCCCCAGCAAGACATGCACCGTAAGCCTCACTGCATTCTTTTGCCAATACTCAAAAATCCAATATAGATTGCTTTCTTCATGTTCTGTACCTCTATGACTTCTCCTAAGGACAGTACTGCCCTGCCCCAGCTGCAGTGACCCCAAACTCAGTGGTGATGCCCTCAGCACGAGTTGAGACCCAAGGAGAAAGAATGCAGCAATGCACAGAGAATGCAGCAAGGAGAGGTGCTGGGGTGAGGAGCACTGGTATGGAGCACCCAGACCACAGGCAGCACAGAACACACAGGCAGCACGGCACCCACAGCTCTTTGCTTCGCCCCTGAGACAGGCAAAGAAGGATTATTCTCATTTTATAACTGGATTATAGAAGCTAAAATGAATTTACATGTATCATGCTAATCCAAAAGGGAACACTTACAAGCAGGCTTTGAATGAAACTGAATGCCTCCGAGTAGGTTAACAGAGATGATTCATTATGGAGTAATTGAAGAGTATGGGAACATCTTTGCCTAAATATTTTATTCCAGCTGAGATTTTAATCAAGTTTCTAAGGAATGTCTCCTAACGCTTCACAAACTACTACAAAGATTTGCATAGGTAAATAGGCATTGAAAAACATCAGCAATGTAAATTAAAGTGTTCATTCTTAGCTTCTAATTTTTTGGTGAAGATAAGTAGAATGCTGTGCTTAAGTGTTGGGGGAAAAAAAAAAGGAAAAGAAAAATCAATGTAAGAGGTGAATAATGGAAAGACAGCAATTTGAACATAGAACTCAGGAGCAGGCCGCTCTTGTCAGCAGATCAACCCAGTGGAGGTCTGATTTCTACCATTCTGACCAAGTTCCAGTTGTTTTGAACAAACAGAACGTGTTCTTAGGATTGAAGGTGAGCTCATGCCTGCGAATGCCACAAAAAAGCTATATAAATCAATGAATAAAAATGGTAATGCTTAACATTTACCCAGCCCTTCACAACAGCACACAGCCTGCAGCTCAGTGCACAGCCCTGCTGCACGCTCCCTTTCCCCTCCTCCAAGGCTCCCAAGCACTGTGAAAAGTCTGAAATGAAGATCAGTTCCTCATCTTTAAAGCCATTTTCAAACATTAATATTTCATTATAAATATTGAGCAATCTGAGAGCAGCCGGGGTGAGCGCTGCCCCGGGACAGCATGAGGGCAGGGAGGGCTGTGCTGCTGGGACACAGGAGCCCCTGTGCCACCATGGGCCCTCGGGGCACTGGGAGCCTCACAGTCTCTGGTGTTGGCTGTGAGATTGCCTGCTCAGCACACAAAGCATTGCACCACTCCAGGGATGCGTGCTCTCAATCCGGCTCCTCTCACTTGAGAATTATTTACACAAAAATATCAGTTGCAAACAACACAGAGCAAAAAATAACAACATTTGGACATATGGATCTTGGAATGACCTCATCCTGAATTCACAGGGTGATGCCAAACTGTCCTTCAGAAAGAGCAAAATACAAACAAACACACACAAACAAAAAACCTGGCTTGGTCCAAACCCAACCCAAGCCAGCAGGAGCAGCTCTGCAGTCACCTGCAGCACAGAAATCCACCACACAAGAGAAGCACCCCATGGATGGGCACTGCTGCCATCAGGAGCAGAACGCGCTCTGCCTGCCTTCACACAGCACACACAGCTCTCCGTGTTCTCTTTGTGGCTATTTTTCTCAGAAAAGTTTGAACCCTGCACAGGTTTTAGATGTGAAATGCAGAATTACTTCCCCAGAATTGAATCACTGGCTTTTATAGATCCAGTAGCAACACTTTAAAATAATGACCGAGCCATTATTCATTCCCGTGACATTTGTTTCAATAACATTAATCAGAGTGAACTCATTTGGTATTAATGCAGGTGTCTGAAGGCCTCCTAGAGAATTCCTAGGGCATTCATTAGCCGGGCCATTATTTTTATTATTTTCCTACAATCTCAGCGTGCCGGGGAGAGGCAGGACTGGCAGAGCTCAGGAAGAGCTCACTGTGTGCCCACAGAACAGCTACAGAGCAGCTCCCCAGGGTCGGTGCTCTCTGCCCCTGTCTCTGGGGCGATGGGGCCGGGACCCCCCACGCTGTGCTCAGTGCAGCCCCGTGCTGTGTGGCGCTGCCCAGTGGCTTCCATAGCTGTGCTTTCACAGCTGCTCTCCACAGCCTTGGACGTGCTGCCAAGATTCTGCAGAGTGGTGCCAAGCTGTGCAGCTCCGCGGTGAATATCTGCTGTGAAGGAGCCTCTGCCTTCTTTGGACTACATTGCAATTGAGCACGTCCCACAGAACCAGAGCTGTGAGATGTTATGCCCATGTGCTTCGTATCCATTATCTCCAAGAGATAAGCAGTGCAGCTGACCTGTGGTCCTCACTCCCCAATCCAAACACTGCCTCATCCATAAATATTTGTGTTGCAGAGCTCCTCACGCTGCCAGGAGCGAGCAGGAAGGAAAAACACTCACCAGAGCCTGAAGAAGATGGCTGGGAGCTGCACGAGGGAAACCTGCTCTGTGGGGAGAGCATTTCTGCTCTCAGGGGAAAGCAGCCACGGTTAGACCAGCTCTGGGGGGAAGATGCAGCCATTGCACAAGGAAAAGCTCTTCACCCCACAGCAATGCAGCAAAAGGCTGATTGTCAACCAGCTAAAACACACGTGTGAAAAGCAGGCAGGCAGCACTCATCCATGGTGAGAACCTCAATTTTGGCAGTTACCAAAGCACTTGCATGGCAGCAGGAACACACACTGCAGCCTCTGCAGTTGTGGAATTAGTGTAGCACAGACGGCACCTTCACAGTGCACTTCCTATTGTCTTAGACAGTCTACAATCAGAATATGTTCGGTTTCATACTCCAAACCTATGCAGAAAGTACTTTCCTATAGCAGCACTATGAATAAGAAGCCCACATAATCCTGGAATGAGTCAGCCTGAACATGACAGATAACAACATCAACTCAGACAGCTCAGGAGTTAGACTACAGCCCATCCCCTCCAGCCCCCAGCAGACAACGGGGGAAAGAAGTGGGGTGCTCGCTCTGATCTCTATTGCAGAGGAAGGGGCTGCTGCAGGGATGGGAGCAGAGATAACAGCCTCACACTGCACCAGGGGAGGGTCAGTTGGGTACTGGGAAGCATTTCAGGCACTGGCACAGGCTGCCCAGGGAGCTGGGGGAGTCACCATCCCTAGGCAGTTGTTCAGAGCAGTGGAGATACAACACTGAGGGACATGATCTGTGGGCACGATGGGTGGGTTGGGATCTGACCTGGGGATCAGAGATGCCTTTTCCCTTCCTGCTGCTGCCATCCCACCATGCTTTAAGCACCATGAGAGTCCAGTGATGTCCCTCTGATGTGGGGCCAGCTGCATACAGGGTGCCCAGGTCAGGCAGAAGTGTGATCCCATCCCACCTGCAGCCTTCCCCCCTTGCTCTACTGTGCCTTATTACATTACACATACATAGCACTGCTCAGAGCCTCAGCACATGGGTTGTTGTGGTGGCTATGGGCTAACAGCACTCCAGAAGTGAGTGTCCCTCTTCCCTCTCCTACGGACCTTCTATTGAACTGTAGCAGCCACCACAAATGTATTAGCAGACATTTTATACACAATCTCATGTTTCAGGGCTTTCAGTTTACATAAGCACCGTTCTACTCTCACCACAGGAAATTTTATCTCTCAGTGATACCACTTACACAGACAGAGGACTTACCCAGCTCTCCTACAGTGTACATTTACATTTTGTAAAACATGAGGGTCTTTCATGTAGCCCTGAAAAGGGGAATCAATAGCAAAATCTAAACTGCAGTCCCAGCTGCATGCAGCTGCCACAGCATACAGAGGGCAAATAGAGGAAAATACCAAGCCTCCCACCAAAGTTGCTGCAGGACCTTCACCCACATGGGCTCTCCATTTGGGCATGTGCTTTGTGGTTGCATCACACACATATATATATATATCTGTGGGATATATATCCCCACAAGCTGCAGAAAAAGGTCTGAATACTGGGGATGACCCTGGCCCCCAAATCAGCCTGTAGCAATTAGGAAGATCAATAAAATGGGAAAGGCATTACAACAGAGGTGTGATGACAGAAGGAGTGGCACAATAGAAAAGTGCCATAAAGGAAGGAGAGAAGATTGCTCACCTGTATCAGAAGATTCCAAGTTTACAGAGGAAAGCTCCACTAAGGAAGAACCTCTAGAAGATCTGTTCTTTAGTGGCAGTCAGCCCTTAAGTGAGATCTAAGAGAGGTGCAGCCAGGCTCCAATCCTTTAAATCACACAGCTGAATTGCCTTCACCTGTGCTCACAGGGCTGACCTGGTCCTTTCCCCAGGTGCTCAATCAGTGCTTCAGGCTGGGACTCAGCAGTTCCCATACAGCCCCATTGCAGCTCCTGAGGGCATGGGCCGCTCGGGACCCAACAGCAATGTTTTTTCATTTAACCTTTCACTGAGGCTGTGGAAGATGAAAGAATAAAGAAAATCTGAGGCATTTAGGGGCAAGGTTTGTCTTTGTGTAGGACACACCTTAGCCTAAGTCTGGAGTGTCCATTATTCACCTGGGAGAACCCCTGCTGCTGCCCCAGGCAGGGATTTATTTCCCACCTTGGTTCCCAAATGATCACAGATAATGGGAACTGGAAAATAAGAGCCATGAGATGTGATGTTTTGCTGAGCTGTAAGAGGTTCTGCACAGGAGTGCAGGGCTGACTGACAACACTGCACTCTGGGAGAATGTGACAGCTTCCGATGGGGAGAAAGACACAGAGAAAATGGAGTATCAGAACAAAGAAGTACAAAGGCACCTGGAAAGGAAGTGTGGAAACGTATCACTCAAAAAATTGTGAGCTGGGATGTACAACACTGCACGAATCCATCATCTCCTCAGGGCCTCCATCCTCTCAGGAATGGACTTTCAGCAATGACAGTGACTGCACGAAGCATTTGGCAGAGCTGCTCCTCGCTGCCCGCTGGCTCCACGCTTCATTGTCCTCACACGTCACACAGGACTGTCACTACTGCTCCATTACTGCTTCAGCTGCAAGCATTTAGCATGGGGGCAGGGACGGCGCTGCTCCTGCACGAGTGGGAACGAAGTAAAAGCCTACGTTGTGTAAACAGACGTGCCTACATTATGTGAACAACCAATGACTTGTAGCTCCTGTTGTTGGGATGCGACGTAAGACAACGCTTGGACATGAAGTGCTGCACAAGCCTGAGGCAGAACAGACATTTTCATTCATGTATGCCAAGCGGTGGCTGTTCTGATTGCTGTCACTCAGCTTTGATGCTACGCCGTCCCAGCGACACCACCTGCCTCTGCTGCAGGCTGACAACAAACCTCTGTGGTGTTGAGATACTTCCACACTAACCAGGCCCAGAAGAGAAAACCCTATGGAGAAGTTGTTCAGGAATCCTCACCAAGTTTGTGAAGGCAGAGGTGAAATTCCAAGAATGAGCAAGTTTCAAAATGCACGCTCATATTGAGCAGTGGCATTTGAAATCAATATTTTCCATTACTTCTATAGATGGTGGCATAACGTACGGTAACATTTTGGTTGCTGATATCTTCAAGCCCAATCTATACAGAATATGTATTTTTCGTGCTCTGATCACATTGATTGCTCATTTAGCACACAATCGAGGCTATGAGTTCATTAAAAAAGGGACCAACAATTGCAGGGTAGTTTATTCTTGTCACTCAGGGGTTGAGTTGGATGCAGCAAATTTACGAGTGAATAACTCACATTCCCTGTGCGTGTGCTTGTCCTTAGAAGCCACTCACAGCTGCATGCAGGACCTGCTCCAGGCTTCCCGCAGTGCCATAATGCCCAATGCACAGCTCCAGGCCCCAGGGAGAATAAGGCCACCCCTGTTAGACACCACACGTGCAATTATCCTCCCAAAGAAGTGTCCTTTGCTTTCTCTCCCCAGCTATATTCAGTGAAAAGGTAGGAATAAGTGTCACATGCGACGTTCTGAGTGATCTGAGAGGACAGGATGGAGCAGTACTTCAGCACCAGCACAGAGCAGCAGCACGAAGCACAGAACAGCACACCATCCTTCCCCTTCTTCCTGTCTGATAATTGCTTTTTTTTCCCCCACAGCTGGAACTGACCCCAGACAGTTGCAGTTCTGGAGCCAGGAGCTCATTTTCTTCCTCAGGAGCATCTTCACCCTCACCTCAGCACTACACAAAAGCCCAGCCAACACAGCAGGGAAAGAAACCAGCGGTGCTGTGTGTACACCACAGGTGGTGCCTCAGTGGTTTGTTGGTGCCGTCTGAAGGAGGGGGGCTCTCCTGCTGCTGACATCCACAGAACTCACACGTGTGGGTTGCGATTGTACTCATTCTGATTCCTGTTTGTATACCTGGTCATGGAGATGAGTACCGTAGGCGGCATCCAAGGATGGTTCATGAACAGCGCTCGCCAGCGTGAGCAGCAGAGAACATCATCATCAAGCATGGATTTTTCATGGGCAGTGCAGGAAGCCTGACGGCCTTCCTACCAGCATCATTGGGTAGGGACATGAGGAAAATAAATCTCACGCCTCTGATGTAAATTCCACATAGCTTGGAGCGTTGCAATGGGAGGCTGCTCAACAGGCAGCTTTGCGTGAAAGGAAGAAGCTTGCCTTTCATTCATGGAGCAAAGAGTGAGTGCTGCTGTGTGCTGGCTGAGAAGTGGGCTGAGAGGGGAGGCAGCCTGCAGGCAGGGCCAGGCTCTGCTTGGAAGCTGAACATGGGTCAAAGTATCTCATTCTCTCTGTACTGTTATGTTCTCTACAGTCTGATAAATACGTGGGCACCCTTGCTGCTGTGAGGGGAGAGCTATGGAACCAATGGGGAAGATAAGTTGAATTGCCTTGTCTTGCTGCTTTCACATCAGTTTCCTTAGCTCCTTCTTTCTATACATCGCTCTGCCTTTCCTTTGCCTTCTGCAGTGTGTTGGCAATTGTAATTGCCAATGGTTTTTCAGTGTGAGAAGAAGGGACTCAGATGGCTGCAGAAAATTATAGCGCTCTGTGTATTCATTATTCATGTCATTGAATGTTTTCCTTTTCTTGGATATTTACATGAGTTATTCATTTTATTTTCTTTTAGCTATGGAAGTCGGAGCTTCAAAATAATCATTTGGCTTGTTTATTTGCAGAAGATCCTCTAATATAATTATTTATAAGAATTGTGAATTGGGAATGATGAATAAACATGTATGGCAATTAATAACCTCTTTGTTGAATTCTCCTATGGAAGCAGATGGCCTAGTGATGCATGTAAATAGATCATTTATTTCATTTGGAAATCTGAACGTTGAATAAGAAATCAGGTATTTGCAGCTAAAGACCTTCCCAAATGTGAAGAAATATTCTGAACAAAACTGGGGAGCGAATGACACTCTGCCATACAGAAATAAATCCGGGGGCTATGTGGAATTACCAGCCTTGTTCAGCACGTGAGCCCAACACAAATGCTCAGAATGCATGGAAGAAAGATGTTCGTCCACTCAAACTTGTTAATCATCGACTCTTACATCAGAAATACTTGCTCTCACCAGCCACACAAGGTGCTGACATAGCACAGAAACTTTGCTGGTGGTCACCAGCCTGCAGTTTTTACCACAAGTGACAGAGTTGGAAAGAAAGAAGGCAGTAACTGCAGAGCAATGAAGGTGTGTTTGTTGGCTCAGGGATGCGCCCCCATCACGACACTGAGATGTGCTCTGAGGATAAAGACAAGGTGCATGTGGAACCTGGCTGACAAGCAAACGGGGCTGCAATGACAAGTTTGCAAATAACCACAGCAACAAACAGTCCCTGAACTCCAGGTGCTGTGGGTTAAAGCTGAATGGTGCACACGTGCTCTGAAGTCATTGAAAATAAACTCATGGCTGCACTGTGGAGCTGATTTTTACTGCTCACTTTAATAGTGGGAAAAAATAGATCTGACTGTGACCTTTTCACAGTTCACAGGAGTACCAGCACACTAATTAAATGACTCGGCACAGAATTCAGAATTTGTAATCACAATGGCCCCAGAAAGGTAATTTATGTTCTGGGTTTGGAAGAGCCGAGTCTCACCTTGCTGAGAGCAGCAGAAGTCTGCCATCCGTGGGCACAGACCGGGGCCAAATGGTGCAACAGAGTGGAGATCTGGGCTCCTGCTCTGCAGCTGGGTGCAGCTGTGCCTGTGAGGAGCCCAGCATTGCCCCACACCAGCTCTGCTGCCACGGCTGCGTGCCAGGCTGGGAATCAGTGTGCACCCATTGGGAGCATCGTGGGAACCCCACTGCTCTCCTGCCTGCACCGCCAGGCTGACTGTGCCTGGAGGCGTGCAAACAGATGTGGTTTTGGATCCTAAGACAGGAAGGAACATGAGAAGTAAGCAACAAGGAAAACTAAAATAAATGAGACACAGTTAACAGCATTAAGATTTGCAAGACCCTATTGATGCCCCTGCAATGTTGCACTGAGTAAGCCCACATTCTGAGCCCTGCTGGAAGGTGTGCACACTCAGCCCTTTGTGCCCGCAGTGTCATCAGCGTGCCACAGAGCTGTGAGGCCATCTGTCAGAAGGGCCTCGGGGGCTCAGCCACAGCCAACCCTGCAGCTGGGAGCCAGGGGTGAGTGCAGCCCATGGAGCACTGTGCTGAGCTGGGGGGCACGGCGCACCCCCAGCAGCTGAGATCTGGTTTTCTTAAGTGGGAAGCAGGAAACTGTTCCCATGACTGAAGCTTTTTGAAGCCTGTCTCCCATTCAGTATTTAAAATAACCAGTTTCAGACATATTAACACCTCTTTGCTTTCCCACTGAGCAAAGCTGGCCGGAAGTTTGTAGCACAGCAACCACTTGGTGCATGCTGGCTGCCACCTGTCCCAGAGCACACAGCAGGGCGATGGGAGCAGGGAACCAGCTGCAATGGGGCTCTGCTGCAGCATAGCCAGCATTCCGAGCCACTCCTGAGCAGGAGGACCAGAGATGAGGAAGTCAGGCAGGAGTGCATTGCTGATGCTTTGCACCCACATGGCGTGAGGCTCCCCTGTGCCCTGCTCACCCAATGAACTGCAACGGCTTGTGAAATCCTCACCAGAGTGGGAGCATTAGTGCAAACAGATTTTACTGTAAGCATTAAACCTTCAGTGAAAGCCCTTATAATTCTTTTATGTTCTGTTCCCGACTATAAATTAGATTATATTACACTTAATGGTTATGGACAGCATGCAGACTCAGTGGTGTCTCTTTAGGTCA